ATTGGGCAGCAGAAGATTTTCTTTGGGCTTTTACAGCTCTGTGCATTATTTATAGTTTATAGGAAACATTTATGAAACAACTTGTGTGAGATACAACTAGTTTATTTGTGGTTCTTCTGTGATAAGTATTGTAAATTATCCTGTGTATTTTTGAAGCTAAAAAAAGTCATCTTTCAAGGCACGATAGTAAATACAGGAGCGCTGTGGCCATAGCTATGATTTCCTATTTAGGTATTTCAACTTAAAACTATTTTGGTCTCTTGGACAGGTACTTGTGAAGTCTGTCTGCTTTCTTTCCTAAATACTGAATTAGTGTGTTCATTACTTTTTTTTTAATGGTAATAATTACTTCACTTATGCTTTTCTGGTATACACTTGATGTCCAATCAGTCTTTTGAGCAGACTGATTAGAATTAAATTGTTTGAAATACCTTTTTGCCCTTCCCCTCTCAAAATCCATTCCATCTATTGACTATAGTGCCAGAAAGGAACTTGGCATTATCTAATTAATTACTGTTTAATTTGCAACATCGTACATGTTGACCAAGCCATATTTATGAAGCTCAAAAACATGCAATAAAAATGGAACAGTTTCCCCTATTAAACTGAATAGCATTGTGCTTTCTGCACTTTTCTTTTGTAGCCGCAGAGACTGAACACTTGTCAATTACTAATGGGTATATTATGTCTAGGTTCAAAGAGATGCCTAACTGAAAAATTTTTTTTGCTATTTGCGCTTGAATTTGACTTTGTTACAAGTGTCTGTTACATAAAACATAAAATGTAATTAATAATTGTGAGCTTCCTATGTGAACTTTCAAATCACAGCTTTTATTCTAAACAGGCTTATGAGATGCTCTGCTTCCACTTTGTGGCTTTTGTGTTTTCAGATATTTTTTGAAGAAAATTCAAGTCAGACTGCTTTTTTCCTCATTTATTTCCTCATTCCTTCCAGATCATTTAATCATTTTTACTTTTCCTAATCCAGGTGACTTCTACCAGTCATTTAACTAACTGTTGGGATTTTTCTGCACCATTTTGTCTAACATTCATAGTGTGAAAAACAAAATCTAGCAGGAGGTTTACAGAAACATCTTCAAACAGGTTTGCGAAGTAGCCACAAGAACTATCCATGAGATTAAGTCAGCTGGTGGTTAAATAAGAAACTCTTGACACTCCTTTATTTAGGATAATCTAAATTTAATAATACTTGTAGATCTGAGTAATGAGATAAAGAGCTGATGACACGGGTGGTCTCTTGTGTGTTAAGGCTGAGTAGGCCTTAATTTTGAAGATCCTCAAAAAGTGAAACTGGTTATACAAATTACCTAAACACATCGTATAAGACAGAGCACCAGGACAGCTGACTTAAAGAGGTGTAAGAGTTTTTTCAGACTGTGTCATGAATCACAAATTGGAAACACAAAGCCAAGGCAAGACCCTAGTGCAGCTGACTGTGTCTTAGTAGGAGACTAAGCATTTAATTTAAAGCACTTTTTGATACACATTTAAGTCTGGGGATTGTTTAACTTGTGGATAGCTATAGATTTACCTTCTTTGTTCTGTCACCTTTTTACAGACTCAGACACATAATCTATTTTTAAGTGTGTTACTAGACTTCAAGACAAATGTGTGTTCTGCAGGACACTGCTGTCTTGGCAAATGGAGTTTGGTCTGGAAGAAGCACAAATGGAAGAGTCCAGTTTTGTCATTGTTCAGTCCAGTCCTTATCTTCAGGCAATACAACTAGTTATTACATTCATTAAATAATGAAGCTTCTCTTGAATATCCTAAATGGTGTCTGATTTGGTTTAAATCTAAAGTCTGATTTGGTCTAAATCTCTCCTCATTTTATCTTGAAAGCAAATGTTTAGACATTGAGGAATGATAAAAAACTTCACAGAAGGAGAACTGGTTTGAGTTACCCTGGCCAGTTGCCTCTAATTTTACTTGAGTAAAATTTGTGCATGGTGGATGTGATGGTCTCTCTGAAATCCACAGTAAGATGAAACTTCTCTTTAGCATTTACACTTGTAGTGGTACTTGAATAAGTTTGGACTGAAGTTCTTGTCACTTAGAACTTAGAAATGCAGTTCTTCCTTGTAACCCACTTTGTATTTTCCCACCACCTGTCAGACATAGCTTGGAATGAGATATCTGGTGGGCTGTTTGGAATAGCTACTTCCAGTGCATTTTATTAAATGCTTGTCTGAATTCTCTGGAACTCAGCCATCTGTCTTTGACCTGACAAACCACTTAACAAGAGGTTAATATAAGCAGGAAGATGTAAGCGTGGTTCCTCAAACACTGATTCTAGAAATCAGGTTTGATTTACAATTATTTGCATTGCTTGTTCAAAGTCAACATTTATCTTTCCTATGTGCTGTGAAGGTGATTTTTGGCTCGCATTTATTGCTAATGTCTAAATAAACCACTAATCTTCAGGCATAATTTTAATTTTTAATGTTTAATGAGTTTTGCATTTTCTTAACCTTTCTAAATAAATAAGGACTTTAGAGAACACTTTTGAATTTTAGGTGATAACCTAAGTAAAACAAAACTGAAGTAAATAGAATCCCATTCACAGATTCACTGAGGGTGAAAAGAACTTCTGGAGATAATCCAGTCATTTCCTGTTTCTCAAGCAGATTTTGCTTCAGCAAGTTGCCCAGGACCCATGTCCATTCAGGCTCTTGAGTATCTCCAGGAATGGAGAATTTACAACCCCTCTGGTTGTCTGTTTCAGTGTACTACCACTCTCATGTAAAGGCTTTTCTTTAGTTTTAAAATCACAGAATAAAATTCCATAAAGTATTTCATACTTGTTTGAATAAATTACTGTGTTTTTTGGTGCACCTTCCTAGGCTAGTGTCCTAATATTTATCAAGTTCAGCTAATAGAGTGTCTCCAGAAGAATGGTTATGAATTGAATCCTTTGTAACAGCTGGGTAAGCTCTTTGTCTGTAGCAGTTTAGGTGGTTTTTGTATGAAAAGCAGAACACATCAACAGAGAGGGATAGGAGAAATAATTTTTCTCCATCTTTTTCTGTTAGATCTGGAATAAGTGTTGTATTGGAAACATCCTGTACGAAATAGCTTTCACTTTGAGATTTTAAAAACTTTTAAGATTGACATTTAAAAGGGCTCCTCAGGAGATTAATAACAAAACACCTGAAATCAACATTTCTGTAGTAGTAGATAACACTGAAATCACATAAAATGAATGGACAAAAAGAGAGATTCCTCTTTTCTGGAGATGTTGTTGGGAAGAGTTTCTGCAGACTGTGCAGACAGTGGGAGTGATGGAGGTGACAGGTACAGAAATTGTTCTAATGTAATCAAACTAATAAGTAAAAAGTCTTCTAGGATTAGAAACATAGCAGTATCTAGGCAGAGCTGTAAATGAATACAGAAATGCTTTTGGGTATTTCCATATGGCTTGTTACAGAAAAATGACAAACTGCTGAGGCTAAAGGCATGAAGATCATGGCGTCTAACCTCCTGCTCAGAGCAGGGTTCTCTAGAGCAGGTGCTCAGTCTTCTGTCTTGTTGGGGTTGGGATTCTCTGTTAATGTGTGTGTTAACCTGTTCATGGATCCGTCTAGACAATTTATGTTTGCCTGAGGTGCTTTGAGATACGAGAGAATGGAAGTGGCTTTGGGAAGTGGGGTGGTGGTGTCCTCTGAGCTTTGGTGCCATGGCAGACATAATAGGTGCAAAATTGTAAATGCCAGTGATGACGAGCTAGTTAGTAAACCCTCTTATGGTATTTAATTAAGTGCAAAATTTCCTGCTGTTTTTTTGCATTACATACTTCTAAATGCATACTGTATAGATACCATACAAACATTTGATAAAACATTCCATTAGATCATTTTTGGACAATGAATGAATATGCCATTTGTGCTTTATGTGATGTTGTTTATCGTTTTATATTGTTGTGTACCCAAGCTAATCATTCTAACTAGCATTTTATGAATTAGATATCTCAGATGCTTCCCTATGGCTTGTTGACAATTTTATTTTACTTTGTTTTGGTGTCTTAAAAAAAACCAAAAAGCCTCAAACCAACAAAGAAAACCACCTCAGAGTATGGAAGTGTTTCTGGAAAGATTTGTCCTAATAAAGGATACTATTCTTGCTAAGTATATCTTTTCACTATGTTAAAATTTTTCACCTATTTGCATTCTTATGTACTAAAAGTACTTCTAAAGTAGGATGCTAGTTAGGGATAGTGTACTGTAGGTTTTGAAGTTGTCAGAAGATGACTACTGCTAAACTCAAGTGTTTAGTAAGTGCTTAGGCAAAATTAGTGATTAGAAAGGGGCTGTTATTCAGACATAAGAACTAATGAAAAATGCTTTATGTCTATCTGTCATCTGAATTTCCAACACTAAAAAGCCCTGAAAATAATACTGCATCTTTGGCTGATACTTAATTCTTGATCAAATACTTGTACCTGTTTTGAATATTGGAACAAAATGAGCCCTTAAATTCCTTGTTACTGAAAGGCTCTATGTAGTATATGAATAACATCCCTAAAATTTTTTGGCTTCTAATTTGGCTCAAGTTCTGACATTGGGTGACTTTGATTTTCAAGCAGTAATCCAGAATTTTGCCACTATACTTCTTCTGTTCAATAAAGAAGTTCAAGAGTGAGTAGTGGATTCCTGACGTCACTTTAAACTTGATGCTTCTGCACATCCTCCAGTGTCGAACAGATCACAATACACTTCTGAACCTGTGCTTAGTAGGTTCATAGGCATTTTAAGTCTTGTATTAAACTGAATGTAGTAATTTCTGTGTTGATCACAAGAACAGAGGAAGGTACTTGAAATCTACCAGTGTTATTGGAAAAGTTAGATGATGTGATCCTTTGGAGTCAGAGCTGTTCTTCAATATATGCAATATTTGCTCAGTGTGTGTCTGTAGGGTATAAATAACCAGCTATTCATTGTGTGGCACTGCACTACTAATGATGACTTTTGTCTTTTAATCAGGACAGAGCTTGGGTTATGGTTTTGTGAACTATGTTGACCCCAAGGATGCCGAAAAAGCTATCAATACCCTGAATGGATTGAGACTTCAAACTAAGACTATAAAGGTATGTAGGGTTAAAATAATTTAAAGAAACTGAGCTGCTTTGACTTCCTGGTTTGTTTTACAGGTGTAACAAGCATTCAGCTAATGTCAGTAGAATAAACTAGGATTTCATGTAGTAAATGGTCCTTTGTGGTGTTTATATTTGGAGTTAGATTAAGTGTAGAAAGTATAGGAAATTACATTTTCTTAACCGACTTCAGATGTACAGTTGAATTGCTTTAACTGAGGAATTGTTATATAGCTTGGTTGAAGAAATGCAATATTGCATGATGTTTGAATACTGTGTGCTTCCACATTTTCTCAAAGAGGATATAACTTCCTTAATAATACTTCAAGTTTTATGTTGCTGCTTGTTCCTTTTACAAATCCTTAGAATGAAATGCTGAAATAACTGCTGAAATAATATATGAATTACTCTATTTCTAGGGCTCTGGTCATTATGTCTCTAATGTTGGTATTCCTGTCGTTTTCTGTTATGTTACATCCCCTCACACACTTGTTTACTAAATTGAGTTTCTCAAATTTCTAGAAACAAATCTTTTTTCATCTCCTCTTTTAATCCAATAACAGAAGACTGAGGATACTCATTTGAGCAGTTGAGCTCCGAAATTCTGAGAGAGAGGAGATTAAATAAAATTATAAGGAGATGCAGACTTTTGAACATATTTCACAGGTGTTGGTGCCTGAAGGCAGTATATGTTCCAACTGGCTCATTCTTCCTCATTAAAAAGCAGGGTTTGCTTAGCTGATCGTTTGGATAGTGGCTTCCTTCTAACCAGGAGCATGTTTGAGGCATGAAATAAAGTTCCCCTCTAAAAACATTTGTGTTTAAAAAGCAGAGCCACTGAAAGACAACTGAAACAAAAATAAGTTACCAGTAATTTTGGCAAAAGTGTCGTACCTGTTTGTATTCATAAGATCTAATAAAGTGGATTACGATATTGAAACTTAAATACAGCTTTGTAAAAAATGGTGGCTCATGGCACACAGGTATGATGGATGAAAGACATGGACAGATGCTTATCTGCTGAAAGCTCCCTGTGTGTTTCTGGCAGATGTCTTGTCCTCTCTCATTTTCTACTTTAGGGGAAAATTGAGCAAATTAATTTTGTGCTCCAGGACTTTTGAAGCTGTCTTTTGTGTGGTGGTGAGAAAGGGAATCTGTTTGTATTTCAGTAATATTGTTTGACATGTAATGCCTTGGATTGAGCCATCGTGACTTGTATGTCCAGGGTGGTAAACTGGACTGTTGACTGTTGACTATGTAGGCAAAAAAAAAGGAGGTGGTTAGAGAAAATCAAGCCAGGTCTCCCAAATCAAAATTTTCCCTTCAGAGGGGTTGTGGTAACTTACTTCATGCTGGCCGTATTTGAATTTTTAATCCTCCTTCACCTTGCTAAGTGATTAATTTAATAAATTTTCACCTTTAAAAAAGAATTTGAAAATTGAGTAGGCAGTTATGAGTGATGACAGTGATGCTTTTTATTTCCTGCCTTCCCAGGACCAAAAAGTGGAATTGTAGGTTAGATACCAGACAAAGACCTTCGCAGTGAGACTAAACTCAGATGTTTGTACGTTAGATATCTTTAGCTAAAGCAAAGCTGGAACTCTGGAGTTGTCACAAGCCAAAATGATAGCCCCTTTGCCAAAATAAAGAAAATCTCTGTTTAATTAGAGAAAAGTATCTTTAAATGCTGATTGTTAATGTTACAAGTAAATTCTGACTCTAGCTACCCCCAGTCAGGCCGGTTGAACTTCAGCAGCACCTTTCAGTGTTAGTGGGCATGACTTGAGTGCAAAAACTGCTTTACTTCTTCTCCTTTATTTACTCCTCTTCCTGCTTGGACATGGCAATTCAGGCCAAGATTTTTGTGACTGGATTTTCCAAGATCACAGAATCATAGGATGTTAAGGGGTTGGAATAGACCTTAAAGATCATCTAGTCCCAGCCTCACCACTTTTACCTGTGAAGCAGTAAAAATGCCCTTCCTGCTGTGAGGGATTTTATAGCTTACACGTTCCTCAGATTGGCCAGGGAGCAATGGTGAGCAGAGGCCAAGTTGATGTCTGAGGTCTTTTCTGCATCTGGAGGCAGCAACTTGGGTGGAGGAGGTCTCTTACGAGGTCTCAATTCCAGGGCCTTTTTATAGACCACAGTGTTTCTATTTGTCCAGAGACAAATGACAAAAAACAAACAAACAAACCCCTCCCCCGCCCCACCAAAAAAAAAAAAAAAAAAAAAAAAAAAAAACAAAAAAAAAAAAAAAACCAAACAAAAACCCAGCCAATCTGATAAATTCAGAATCTAACCCATAACTTTCAGCTTCAAAAAATTCATGTAATTGAGATGTTTATGTATACTTTCATATGAAAAATTATTGGATAGGAGTGCTAGTGTATATTTAGGCTTCAAAAGAAAAAATTAGGGGTTTGTTCTCTCTGTGCATTTTTGTGACTTCTGCAGGAATGCTTAGTACTTTGCTAGATTGATGGTTCAAGTTTGCTTCCCATTAGTATATAAAAATGGAAGAAGCTTTGCTGGTTCAGTCACAGTGTGATGTATCCTGACATTGTGACTGAACTCAGTGTAATCCTACTCAGAGGAAACTGACTGTCCTGACCCTGATGTGTGGTGCTCTGGATTGCGGCTGTGACAGATACCTCTGATCCACAGCTTCTCTACTAGCCTGAACGTCATTGGATATATTTTTTCTCATCCCTAAGGGCGTGCCATTTAGTGTTTTCTTGAAATAAAATACATTGAAAAATGTGGATTTTCAAAATGCTGGATTAAGGATTGGGTTTTTTAACACTGATAGCAACACAAAATCCTATTACCTCTTCCCTTTTTTAAAAGAAGATCCTGTGGAATGCTTTATGGAATACTTTACTGATTTTTTTGCAAAATATCTCAACCAATTTTCAGGTGTATATCTCCAAAGCAAGGATTAGCAGTCTTAGTCTTGTCTAACCTGGTGGTGGGTGTATTGCCTTCTGATTTAACTGAATAGTAAGGATGGGTGTATACTCTGCTGGTAAAGCCACTTATGGGTGTATTAGATATGTGAACCCTGTTCAGCTGCACGGTATGCATCCATTATTATATCGTGCCCTTTGTTGTATAATTTATGGTTTATTTGCAAAGTAAACAGGTCTATGTGTACTGCACATAGCCTATGAAGTTTGGGCTTCACTAAGCTATGCAACTTTAGTGTGGAAACAAATTGCATCTCATAAAAGGTAAAATATTTTCTGTGGCTCTTCTTTTGGAAGATGATGCTGCTGGCAAGCTTTTTATCTCTGTTCTATTTAAGAGACAGTAAAAACGTGAATTTTTGTGCCTGGAGTGATTTTTCTTCTTACCTGCTTGCTTGTCCATTGCTTTTTTTTCATTTAGGTTGTCCTGGAAAGATCAGTTCTTCCCAAATGTGGAAAACTCAGAGAAACAAGCCAGTTATGAGAGTCACTGATTTACGCATAGGGTTAAGAAAATTGAGTGCATGTTCTTGTTGTCTTGACTTTTGCTTGGGAGAGGAGAAGTGCTGCATGGCTTTCCCTCCCCTTCATTAGGGGATTTTTATGAGAAAACTTCTAAAAAGAAAAAAGATCCAAGTGAATTTATTGTGAGATTATCTGAACAGGAATATCTTTCAATGTGAAGTAAAAGAGTTATGCATTAACAAGAGTGTTTTAAGATTCACTTAGTGAATCTTAAAAAAAAAAGAGTGCCCACTTAAAAGGAGTGGGCAGGCAAATGGCCTCTAGACTGACTGAGAGCTGTGTGGGATGGTGAGTAGGAGGCAGCTTTTTACATAGACAGGAAGACACAAGACAATATTTTTGACTTTTCTTCATGGATGTTAATTAGGCTGCCTTAATGATGGATGCAGTCCTTTGTGGATTGTAGCTGCCGAGGGGACACTGAAGTTGGGAGTAATGCTGTGCTCATTCCTCCCTTTTGAGGGCTTGAAGTGGTAGAGCCCCTGCATGCAGGACCTGGCATTTCTCTTAATAGAGAATGCTGGTGAGACATGTGTAGACATGTATGCAAGTATGTGTTGGAAAGAGGGGAAAATAGTTTGTCCAGGCTAGAGGCCTTGGAGTTGTCTTTTTCTATAAGTTAGCATTTATAGGATATATGTATTCTACTTAGTGTAGAGCTAAATTTAATAGCGTCAAATTTAATAAGGTTTTAATAAGGTTTTCCTTCTCTGAAGTTCTTAGGCTTATTGGGATGTTTACATGGGTAATTATTACCTGTCAGGGGAATAGAAATTTAAGCAATATTTTATCTAAATTATTAAATCTGTAGGTTTTCTTCCCTCTCCTTTATAACTTCGCATATAATAAAAACAGGCTTAATATGTAACATTCTTCCAACTTCCTATTGGAATGAATTTGACAACTTCTGTAGCTACAAACACAAAATGTCCTATTTTGCCATCATCACCCAGTTGATTGCCCTACTGTAGAAAGTTGTGTAATGAGAAGAGCTAGTTAAGACTTCAGTAGAAGAGTGAATACTAATCATTCAGCTTTACAAATGCTCAAAAAAGTTCTGTATATAGCAAGGGAGGACTTGAAATGAGGACTGTGCTGCAAGCTGGCGTTATGCGATGTGATTTTACTTGGTGTCTTGAACTACTACTTAGATTTACAAGAAGATTCATTGTAAAGGAATTGTCCTCTAACTTAACTGTTCAGTAGCTGCACCCTTAAGAAATTTTACCAATGATAGTACTCTTGAAAACACTTCAAACACTTAATGGGAAATAGCAAAACACTGAAAAAGAGAGAAATGCTAGTTTGATTTCTGAGTTCAGTGCCACAGATAAAAACTATTGAGATATTGTTCCTGTCTTCACCACTGATACTTGTAGAGATAGTGTCCCTTTTTTGTAGTAATTCTCTGATTAACCAATATGCTTGCGTGGCAGTGAAGTATGCACGAGTTGTGTGAAAACTCTATTAAAATACCAGAGGCGAGTGAGCTGTGAAGGT